TCGTGTGGTCCCTGAGGCAAAGTTCTTGGGGCTTATCTTTGACCGTAATCTTAGCTTCATTCCACACATCAAGCTGCTGCATGTCAAGTGTGCAAGGGCTCTGAACATCCTCCATGTCCTCTCTTCCAGCTCTTGGAGAGCGGATTGATGTTCTATGCTCAGGATCTATCGTGCTTTGATTTGATCCAAACTGGACTATGGATCTTTGGTCTATGGTTCCGCCAGGACCTCGGCCCTGAAGATGCTGGACCCCATTCACCATCTGGGGCTTCGGCTCTGCACCGGTGCTTTTCGCACTTCTCCAGTCCAGAGTTTGTACACTGAGTCCCACAAACCTTCTCTTCACCTTCGTCATTTGCAACTTTCTCTACAATATGCTACTAAGCTTTGATCCTTACCACAGCATCCCACCTGGGATTGTGTTTTTCTTCCTCGGTGAGCAATGCTCTTTCAGAACAGACGGTCTGCTATTCCTCCATTTGGCCTTCGTATCTGGGCATTACTGGCTGAATTGGGTCTGGCATTGGATGACATTGCTGTCCCCAATGATCAGCTCATTCCACCATGGCTTATTACCATCCCATCCTGTGACCTTTCCTTGAGTCATCTGGGGAATGCGGATACTCCCGATTGGAAGTACTGTCGTCTCTTTGCTGAACATCTTTTGAACCATTCCTCTCTTCCCATTTACACGGATAGTTCAAAATCAGGTGACTCTGTAGGTTCTGCCATGGTTTGCTGTGGCTCGGTAGTTGCTTGCAAGATCCCCTCTACAGTTTCTGTGTTCACTGCTGAGTTATATGCTATTTCTTTTGCCCTGGATCATGTAGAAGCTATGCAGTACAGTAATTGTACTATTTACACTGATTCTTTCAGCTCTCTACTGGCCATGGAATCACTTAACATTAGTTCTCACCCTGTTCTCGTCTATATTCAACACCGATTGGCCCACTTTTTGCTATCTTCTATTTCCATCCAGTTTTTCTGGATCCCTGGCCACGTCGGTATTCATGGGAACAAGCTCCCTGGCACCGCAGCTAAGTCCGTCTGCTCTGGTGCCATCACTGCCGTGCCTGTCCCACACATGGAGTACGGTCCTGTCTTCAAGGCGCGGCTTTGTGCCAGTTGGCAGTCGACTTGGAGTGAGCAATGCCATGATAAGCTTTTCCAGATCAAACCTTCTGTTGGTCTTTGGCCGTCTTTCTTTCGTAAGGATCGGAAGGAGGAAGTAGTCCTGGCAAGGTTACGCATTGGTCGTAGTTTTTTAACCCATCGTTTTCTTTTATGGGGTATTGACCCACTGATGTGTAGCCATTGTGACACTCAAGTCACAATAGCCCACATTTTACTTTCATGCCGTCATTATGACTGTGAGCAGCGGCATCATTTTAGACACATTTTATCTAAAAGTTTACCCCTGACGCTGGACAGTGTCATTGGTAATGGTGACAATGTCCAATTAGATTGTATTTTTAATTTTTTACACACTATAGGTATTTTTAATTCTGTATAAATCTTTTATCGACATGTATTGGTTTTAATTCGCTGTATTTTTACATTTTAAATTAATTTACTTTCTTTGTTTTTACCAGTTGTTTGGTGCAGATAGCCTTGCTGCTTTGTGCCATAAAACACCAACCAACCAACCAACTGATTTAAAATTATTCTCAACAATAACTCTTTCACCAGGATCTAGTCCCTGGAGGAGCATTCTCTACATTTCTACTTTCTGGTGATGACTGCAATGTACTGGGTTTGCTCTCTTTTTTTGGACATAGCTATCCAGTCATCATGTAATTATCCATATGGAGAACTTTATGGTCATTACTTAGGTCACCTGCGAGGGAGGCAGCTGTTCTCAGAACCTGTTTTTTTCATTCTGAATTACCTTTTTTTGGGCCTACAATCATCGTATTTACCTTGTGACATGCCTTTTAGGTTTTTACCTTGTGGCAAATCATTTCTCATGCTTTGGATTTGTTCCATTTTTGGAACCCCTCAGTTGATGTCAGTTGTTCATTTTTCATGACTGGGTGTTGTGTTTTCATTTTCAAGCATGGGATTTGTACAGTCCCATGTGTGACATATGGGATTTTCCTGTTGAGTAGCCAATTTCCTCTCTCACTCTTGTTGGTCTTCTATTTTCACCCTCTATCAACATAGAGCTGTTTATTGCTACTGGTCCCTCCATTACTTGCTGCAACGAAGTTGTCCTATTCCTTTACATCTTAATTCCTTCTTTATATAGTTTTTAGTATTGGTCTTGTCTGTTTTATCTAGTGCAGGTTGCCACGGTACGCCTTAGATGCCTTCCATACTATCTACCATTAGAGGTCTTACAGGCTGATACATGGACTACACTTGACATATTTGTCTCCCATTGTTTGTATCATTGAACAGTTCCTGTGCTTTTGGTTTTTGCCTTCCTCCAGTTACCATCCCCCTCAGTCAACCTAGAGGCTTTAGTGTGGTTAGTTTTTGCCTGTTGAATTTTTCAGTCATTTCCATGTCATTCATGTTTCATGACTCATCTATGTTTTCATGATTTTTCATGATGTTCTAACACAGTGCAAGTTCCTTAACAACAACAACAACAAATAAAAAAAATCAAACAATAAAAAGGCAAGACTCAACAGTTCAAATGTTATATGAGGAACTACAATTTGCATTCCTTATGATTGGAGCCATTGGAACCTACTGAGTTGCCAGTATTGCCTCACATGGAATACTTACCTTAAATATGAGCAGAGGAGGATGGAGAGCACTAAACCCATTTGCCCCTACTTGGTGCCTACCATCAAGATGGGTTTCTTTTAGCGAATTTGCCTCTATAATTGACATGGCCATTTCTGCACCTTTATAATAATAATAGTAATAAAAAACAGCACTAGTTTTAGTTCTGCCATTCTACCTGTCTAAAGCTTGCTGCCTTTAGTTATAGTAACCTGTTGCATTGTCTCTTAGTGAGGACCTAATTCTGGATGATTGTGCCTGATGATAGAGGTCAATTTATTCTGTCTTGTGTTCCCCCCAGTGCCCTGCCCTGTTTTACTAGTGAAGCACAACAAAACTATTATTTCCCCATTCCCAGGACTGTGGGGATGTTGATTGGAGATTTTCCTTTGTAAGTGGTACCTCTCCCTGATAAGAGACCAGTTTGGCCCACCTCTCATTTGAGGTACAGGGCTGGGATGTTTTCTGGAAAGGTAGCAAAGGACATCTCAAACTGTTCCTAATGGATATGTCCAGCCAAATGAGACTTGGGTTAGATTCTGAATACAGATGAGATTTCCTTCTCCTTTCACCTGTTTTTACAATGCCTATCTACTGTAAATATTTCACCAAGACAGAACTGCCTAATACCCCAGCCAACATTATACATTCTCACACTTTACCTACACCTTTGTGACATGTTACCACTGGCACTGGATTTAGCCAAAACTTTCTGTAATGTAAAGGTAATATTTGAGTGAATAAATAACAAGTTGGACAAAGAGTACTTCCTGCTTGAGAAAGATGCAGTCTGTTACTGGATGTTGATCTACTAGATGACACCTGGGGTCTTGTGGAAGTCATATCCCATGGACTTTCCCTTTTTGTCACCTATTTCAGAAAAGAGTTAATCTCTATAATTGATTAGGAATAGCCCCTCCACCATCTTCAATGTGGGATTCTAGTATGTAGTGGTAGAGGAAGGTAACATTTCTGAAGTTAACATTTTTCTTATCTGAAGATGTTCAGGTAGATACTTACCTCTCAGCACCACCTGCCTTCACATTTCCAATGCATTTTCTTTGCCTTTTTAAGACTGAACCTATGATCATGTGCTAGGAGGTTGTGCCACTTTCCTATTGGTGGAAAATACAGCATTATGACAGTTACATCATAGGCTGTCATGTGTAGAAGTCAGAGTTTGTTCACGGCATGTGGAATGGGCAGGAAATCCCATGGCAGTTGCACACAAAATAATAACTCATAGTTATGCAGAGTCTTAAGTATCTATGTGAAATATATTTTTAGGTAAGGAAAATGTTAACATTTCAAAATTTTTGTTTGCTCAATAAACTAGGAATATAAATACAACTCACAGATAGTGATTGGAACATCCATGTGTATGTAGGTCATTATATTTGTTGTATTTCTGCTTTATTTCAAAGTGTTTTTTACAGTGTTTGCACACATTCTGATTTTTTGTTAGTTTTAAGAAATTCCATCCCACCAAACAATAGGTACACAACATGATATTCTACATTCAGTTTAATTAAACCAATGGTTGCTATATTGTTGTGTTGAGGATCACATGTCAACTGATCAAATGCCTTTGTTATTTCACAATTTAATAATTCTTTGTAAATTAAATACACTACAATAGTTCTGACCCTAATAACTAATTATTCATATTTTAAAACATAAATGTTAAGAGGTTTTTCTGTAACAAAGCATACTAAAATGCAGCATACACATGGAAGAGTGATCTTGTACTTTGTGTTTTTGATTTTCAGAATGCTCTTCAATTGCAAGAAAAGTTAGCAGACAAGTTTTAATGTTAACTTGCATTGTTTTTATCCTATAAGAAACATACTGTACTAGCTTGCTAACAATATATGTATAACCAATTGTTGAACCAGACATTCTATGTATAAGGTGTTGGAATAAGTACACATTGTATCGTATCTTCTAATTTGGAAACCGTTTATACTTATAGTGAACTTTTTATTTATATGTATTTAGTAAATTCATTACTATGGTAAACGTTAAGAGAATAATTTTATTTTACATTATTATAAAAGGGTAATGTAAGTTTAAACATACTCTTCTGACTTATGTAAAAGTGGGACATATGATGCACTTTTCTTGTTTATGATTACATAATTATTCATTAGGTTATTCAAGGTGTGCATTTTTTTTGTCTAAAGTTTAAGTAGCTTTGATGGAATATCTAGCAGTTATATTCTACATCAGTGATATGTGTATGACTTAATTTTTCTTCTGTAACCTAGTTGTTTGGAGGAACAATGGTAGGAATAGGAGGATGGTCATTTCTGGAAGAATACAGTGAATCTGGCTTACCAGAGGTAAAGAATGTATTTGATGTCCTGCTACAAGTCTCCATTGTACTGATGGTGGTTGGTGCAGTTGTTTTCTCCATAAGCTTTTCTGGGTGTTTGGGTGCTTTGAGGGAAAATACATGTCTACTCAAATTTGTAAGTTACTCCATTGTTATGATCATTTTTATCTCAAAGTAAATTTGTTAAAGAAGTTTTTTTATGTATTTAAAATAAGAATAATAGAATTGTTATGTGTATTGTGTGATTTCACAAGATTTTCAAGGGCAGAATTAAATACCCAATAAACTCCTGGTATTTGTATGTTATCAGATTGAAGCCCCATTTCCATATATGCTATTCTACAGATATTGTATATAATGCAGATACACAGTTGTTCATGATTCCTGAATGAACAATTCTGGTTCATGTATTATTTCATGAAATTCCTTTTGTAGCAGTAATAAATGCTAACTACAGGGTTGGCAAATTGGATAATTGACAGCTTATTTCAAAAACTGTTCAAATAAACTGAAATATATATATATTAAGTACTCGCATATTATCCTAGGTTTTAGATTAAGTTTTAGCATTAGAAATTTCCCTCTGCTTTAGACTTGGGCAATAGTGGTATTAATAGTATTTACGAATTGATTAATCAGTGGGTCCGTTAATCAACTGAACATTTAGTATATCTTCCCCTTCCTGCTGTACAATAAAAAAATAAAAATAAGAGATATATTCTGAATTCTTAACTTTTCCACCTCTACATCATTTTACCATGATTATTATTTTTATTTTCATTCACAATTTTATTTTTTAAAGTAATTTTTGAATTACCCTTTGTTTCATACTGCCTGTGTTCAGACATGTTTTATTCCTGTGTTTTTTAAGTTTCTAGTCACTTTAATTTATTGCAAGTCCCAAGGCCCAGTCATAATTTTTCATGCATTTTCTCCAATTACATCAACATCAATTAGAAGCACCATATCTATTCATGGAATTGACATCCAGTAGTTACTGCTTTAGCTTTGTTAGGCAGCAATTGCCTAGTGTATGTGTGTGACAGGTCTTGGATTTTAATATGTGGCAATGGACATACTAAGTTACCACAATGTTAGGGTTGTGTGGATCCATGGTATGACAATGTGAGCACTACCAATGTTATTCAAATATGATGCTACCACTGTCATGCATCAGGTGGTTTGTTCCTTACTGCCTCTCTCTTTTTAGTTCAGGTCCCTCATAAATCTGTTTCATTTCCTTGTGTGGAGACTGCTTAATCTGTGGACTGTTTTTACCAGCTCTTTCACCTTTAGTCTATCCTTCTGGCTCTTCTTTCACTGATGAAGAAAAGATATACTTATTTTTCTGTTTACTATGCTTGTAACTCAAATATGTGACTTTGTCTCTTTTGTTTGTATATTATAATGACTCTTGGATTGCTATTCTTTGTGGGCTTTTTTTTTTCCACCTCCACATTGGTTATTTTCATTGTCCTCCTTGTCTTCATGATATTTGTTATGGCCTAAAGTCACTTTCCTTCTATATTATTTTTTTACCTCAGTCTCTTATATTCCCTCTGTTTGCTTGAGACACTCATTTTTCTCCTTTGTTTCTTTCTCGTACAATATGTTGTCTTCATTGTATCTTCATTCCTTTGCTATATTTCTACCATTTACCTCCTCACTATGGCTCTTCATTATGATCCTGATTGTTTTGATGACACCACCCATTCTTACTTGTTTGCCCCTTTGGATTCTGTTTCTTCCTCTAATGCCTCTATTTTGTCTTATTTTTTCTGTTCTTTAGATTTCCTAAATATGGATGTTTTTGTTTTGGGTGTCTTCCTCCCTTCTTCTCTCCTTCACTTAAGTTTTGCCACTTTCCTTTTTGCACCAATCTTTGGGGAGTATTCCTGATTTCTTAGCTTCTTGGGCTAGGGCAGTGCACAAGCAATCTTCCTTCACTTCCCTGGTTTGCCAGCTTACTAGACCACAAATACATTTGTTGGCTACCTGACCTTGCGAGTCCTGTAGAGCTATCTTCTCTTCTGTTCCTCCCCTTATATCACCTACTTACTGTTACCTCTCCCACTGGGTGCATCATCAAGACACTTGGTAGTCACTCTTCCCTGGAGCCAATTCTTAGTGTTGAAACCTTTTATGCTTGCCTCTCTTACCTTGCATATGTATAGTTTCCCTTCACTGGCAATCCTTGGTTTATGCAAGTTTTTTTCAGGTCTCTCCCTGCTTTTCATACTCAAAGTCCTCTTTTTCTTCATCCTCTCACCTGTACTTCGTAAACATTTTCTCAATTCTAGTGTGTGCCAGGCTCAGTCATTTCCCTTGCATCTTTGTGCCATGGAAATCTTAGTATTGAAGGCTCGTCAATATCCTTCTCTTCCTATGTGCGGTTTTTTTGCTTTTGGAGTCTCTAGCTTCTCTCTATACATGTGTTTCCTGGAAGATCTGTAGCATACGTTTTAAGATCCTTTTTCTGCCCTTACACCTTTCCATTCATCTTTCCCTCCCTATCTGTAGTGATGGCTCAATCACCCCACCACTCCCTCCACCCAACTTACAGTTTTTAACCCTATTGCAAAGGTCTTGTATTTTACACAACCTTGTAACCATGGTGGTATACATACAGTGATAGATTAAGGTTAAGTTGGGTCTTTGGTGGTAGTAGAAGAAAAGCTCTACCCCCCTCCCATCATAGATATATTGATCTCTAGGGAACTGAGTCAACTTACCATCAAAATCAAAATGTTAAGAACATTTTAATAATACATAGCCTTTTAACACTGGAAACAACATAGACAAATCACAGATGTGTGCACAAACATTTTATTTACTCATGATCATGAAGACAACTTGATTAGAATCTGCATGTAACTGTATAAAGTTAGAATTGTCTTTTTCTGGCTTTATTATAGCTGAATTCATCAATGAGTTTCGAAAAGTCTAACTTTCAATGTATGTCGCATTCAGTGTTTATTACAGACAGACTGTTTACTCTCATGTTCTGAGTAATTCTGCAGGGTGGAAAAATACAGATTTCAAATTTAATGATTGTACAGGTCAAAATCATAGTATGAAATTTAATTTTATGTTTTTCATTAAAGATGACTGAAAAAAATAATCATGCAGACCCAAATAAGCATAATGGTGGAAAATTCCTCAAGAATTTATAGTTGTACAGGTACGATTATTTGGAACGTAGTCGGCTTTGTCCTGTTCTGTTCCTGAGCTCACTTTTTATTCTTTTCAATTTTTAAAAAGATCACTCCCCACGGTAGTTTGATACCATCATGGACAAGTATATTCTCAGCACTATCTCAACATTAGGAAATGTTTGGATAAGGGTGTGTCTATAGAGAAAGGGGGAACATTCTTAACTCCACTGATTCTGTTGATTCAGATTGTGTAAATGAACATCAAAGCTCTGGAATTGCCAATGTGGAAAAAGTAGATCAATTCGTTTTCTATCTCAGTTTCAACATCAATCGGAAAAGAACAAACAAACCATTTTGTGGCTTGACTGATTTCTTGACATGAAAGGAGTGATAATTTGGAAAGGAATTCAAATTTGGTGGCAACATCTTTATATGCATCAAGACTATTTAAATCCAGTGACAATTTGGTTGACCACAATGAAAAATATTTCAGTTCTGAACTTATCTTTGGATGATAGTATGGCATCCTCTGCATCTCCATCATCATGGCGACTGTTGTGCACTGGGTTCTGTGCTTGCAAACTGAACTATACTCACTCGGTTGTCAAATTTGTCAAACCTTGTCCTCTGATCTTCAACGTTTTAAGTTGTTGGTTAGATTAGGTAAAATAAATAATAATATAATGGAAAATTTTCATGAGATACGCTCGCAAGTAGCTCTGGCATAGTGTAATTCAAGAGCGTAACATGAGCTGCATGTTTGCCAGTGATTTATGACTTGTAATGGACTCCAATAGTGGTTAGATGTGGTTCAAAGGGCAATAAAATTTAAGTATAAATAGATGTGTACTGATACGAGTTTATATATATTTAAGATAAACAAATGTAGTTTCATGTTACAATATGAAGTCATTCTAGAAAAAAAATGGGGTAATTTAAGATTTATTTTGATTTTTTTTATGGCTATGAGGTCAGTGAAATTGATCAGCCCTGTATAGAGTTAGGGTAGAGGAACTAACAGATAATATATGAAGTTTTACTTTTAACAAAAAAAATGTTTGAAATTTATTTAGGAGGTTTTAAAGATTATACAGTTGAAATTTGAGATGAAGAAAAGTATTTTTAATTTTAACATATTATTTTGCTTTTGGACTAATGAAAAAAGATTATATATTCATGGACAAATCTGTAGTAGAAATACTTCCTTAAAAAGATTTTTTTTGTGTACAAACAAGTTGTAATGTTTAATAAATGTTTGCCTTATTTTGTGAAAATACACATACTGTTTTAAAAGTTATAGTATTAAAACTGTATACTAGTACAAAATGGTCTTGTGGTTGGTCATATTGAGAGAGTTCACATAATAAGACATTTATAAATTTCATAGGATTTATAATTTTGTTTCCATTTCTGTATGGGTCGTCTCGCAGTTGCTCAAACCACCCAAGCCCTAACTCTATTGTCCCAGTTACCCTTTACTGTGCATGACACAAGGTTTTAGTGTCTTATATTCAAAATTTTATTAACCTACTTTTTTGTTTGTTATACCAGTTATGATAGTGTAAAATCTTAGCTAATAATCCATACTTAAGTAGTATACAAATTTTAAGTTCTTAATTTTGCAAAGCAATATTGAAACAAATCCTGAATTTATACTAATGTGACCCATGTGACACATTTTGTCTTAGCATGTCATCATCTCTATTTTATCCATCACCCCTCAAAAATGTACAAATTAAACATAAAATACTCTCTATAAAATCTTTATTGCTCAAACAAACTATAATTATCATAGCCTTCAATTTTGTTTGGTTACAGAGCTATCGAATAGAAAATCAGACCACTCCTGCCACACCCACCTGTCACGTCCTCTCTTTCACAATTCGTTGAAAGTTCTCTCTTATGTTTCATTATATATTTCCTATAACCATAGAAAGTCAAGGTTTCTATCTATCAATGAATGTTATGTATATAGTTGTGT